ATATAACAGACCCTATGAAGTGGTTAGATGGTCAAGGCAGATGAAATTTACACCGTCCGTCAGGTTCAACTTTTTTCAGATCCATAAGGCACGTCAAAATCACAGGAGCATTCGTCTTCTTCTCCATACCTTCACGCGCGTTGGATGGAATGAGTTGATTTGTAGTTGGCAGATGGTAGATCCCGTCAGAAAACAAAAACGAAGGATTCACAAAAAATGTGGCTTATAGAAGTGTCGGGTAGGAAGCGCAAAAACTTCTGAACCTCCACATTAAACTGGTCCAACGAGCGAGGTCTTTTAAAAAAATCCTACCGTATTTTCTACTTGTGATGACGAGTGGCGCTATTTTGAGTGTTTCAATGTCTACGTGAATGCAACAGGTTGATGATTGCTTAATTTGGCCATTTCGATAAAATTATTTGGGGGACTGGTGGTTTACTTGTGGCATGCTGGAAGCAATTGGGATTAAATTGACCGAAAATGATCAGTTCGGGATTATTCATTGCTTCGTTTATACTATCATTCCCTTAATGTGTCTAGATATTGGTGGTTTGAATGGGTCAATTGCCTGTTGATCAGCTGGCATCTGATCTGTTTCGCGAGCTTCGCTATTGGTTTGCAAACGAATCGTCACCATGCGAGGAGAATCGTGGCCCACCCAACCGGACACTGACAATGTCTCATCGTATGATGACGAGGCATCTGAAGTTCGATTTCCAGGTTCGGCGAACAGCTCAATTGTCACCTGATCAACAGCCATATTCTCCTCATTTTATTACTAAGGAGAGGCCTCTGAGTTGGTGAGTTGTTTTGACGCGTATGATCTAATAATGAAGTTTACCGCACATCTTAAAGGCCAGATTACCACAGAAAGCAGTTTGGTTGTAATACCGGTTAGACCAGATGAGTAGACTGTCGAAATGTTCGCCCTACCTCTGTAACTAAGTACAGCAGGGGGTGTGACCGCGTTGAAACCTAAATAAACATCTGGTGCGCCGGGTGAGAAACCAGCCTGTTTACCTCACCTGTCGTATCCAAGCGCTCTGAAGATCGCATAGTAAAAGGCCATATCCCAGAGTGGCAACTAATACTAGCGTGCACTTACGCCCACGCGGATGCCAGATTTTTTGCAAGTGAGTCGGAATAAAATTGGAGACTCTTGTCCAAAAGTACCGCATCCTTTTACGAAAATCAACGGGTAAATATACTCACCTCGTTGTCCGCACTGTGTTTTGAGGTATTTGACTGCGGACGATTGCTAACCATCGAATGGTCTCCGTTTCGGGTGGCTTCATTCGATGGGTTCGGCTTAGTCAAGCTGCTGGTAACCGTGGAATCGGGAGAATGAGGCGGCTCGAAGTTAAACTTATCATCTCTTGTGGGAGAAACAGCATCAGGAGTGCGAGGAATTTTTGGCCGGCTTTCAAATGCGGATCTTCTGTGATCTGCTTTGGCGCTTGGCTTTTCAGGTTTTGGTTTTACTGGATCCGCTTTGTGAGATTCAACCACACTGGCTTCTTTGAGCGGACTTGAGTCTAGCTGGATGGATGCTCGTGGAGTTGTGTCTGAACGAGGAATACAAAGTGAACTGGACTCTAAGAAGGCTGTCAGTTAAATCTTTTGGGCGCAACCGGTTATCTGGAACAGGAGATCTCTATTAAATTACAATGCGTTACTGCTCTATCCTCATTGGACTCGCGAGTCGGATCGTCGCTTTGATACTGCGACTCTAAGCTCAGCAGGGAAAGTCTTCGATGGTTCATCCACAAGGGTTAAGGTACGACCTTTTGATTGTCCGGTTTGCTGGATGGGTCTACGATTGTCAGTGGACGGGAAACTGGACACTATCTCAGTCGATGTACTTCTTCCGGACAGCATCGCAACTGAAGGTTCTTTCACTCGAGCTTTGCATACTTGTATCTTTCATTCTAAAAGGCTAACTGACTCCTAGTTTGTTTCCTAACGGTTTGATCAAGTTAGTTTGCATGCAAATGGAGTTTATCATGACCAGTATTCCTTAGTTAAAAGCAAAGTGACCCGCTCTACTGTCATAAATTTGAATTGAACAAAATGTTTGAATCTGTTAGAACTGAGATAACCGTGTGAATTTGGGCTGTTTCTCAAAATCTTTACAATTTTTCTCAGCAGAAGAAGAATTGGAGATAACGGCCCGAATACGATGTGTTAGTCTAGTCAGTTTTGTATGTATGTTCGGGCTTCCCATTTATTCTTCCGAGTTCCTTCGTGACATCAAACCTTCACTTATTGTGTCAGTCAGGTGAGGGCACACTATAGGTGCGGCTGATATTCAGCTGTTAGTCCTTGAGACAAGCTCGATCAACGTCGTACAGAGTCCGGCACTTAGGTGTAACATAGAGCTAAGGGCCATTGTGATTCAGGTGATTGAGCTATGACGATTTACTAATAGGATCCTGAGTTCACTTTCCGTATCCAACTCTTAAATCTAAGTTCGGGTTATGTACGTTAGTTGTGGTAAATCAGGGCAGTTTATATCACATAGGTGAAGACTGAACGAACACGCGGAACCATAAAGGGAATTTATAATGAAAAATCACAATAAGGGACACAATATCAACCTGCGTCACCTAGATTCAACGCTCAGGTCTCTGGGTAACCAACTTGTTCTAGTAGTTGGACTGCTCGAAGCTTCTAGAGAAGTCAAAAATGAGGTGACTTTTGCAGTGTTCATTTTGAAACTGGCGGAAACGTGTATTTGGTCGCGAAAATAATCAGTTGTTTGACAACGGATTTCTAACAAACAGAATTATTCTAGTCGAGTGAATTCCCATATTTGGAACGTGTCTGAGGATATGCTCTTTGCTGATCCCCTTTAGTTCTCAAAATATGGATTTTGTCCAAGCTGCTGGCGGAAGAGTAAATGCGGTTTAAGGAATATAGGCAGCTTTTTTGATGACAAGGTGGAACTTGAAACCGTTTGGCGTCGCATTCATCACCGATTTCACTAATATGGGAGCAATGTTCCTCTCGTTAAGTAGACTGGAGAACACACTTTCTTCCAGTCCTTTTCAGCTCAGCTAAATGATTCTACTATGGTGTGAACTAAGCCGTTCTGAGTACTTATTTTTATTCCGTCTCCAAAGGGCACTGTAACTCGTTGGGCGCGTCGGGTTTTATAGATTCATGTCACACTGTAAAGCAACGTCCCGATCAAGTCATGTATGTTTCATTCTTCGAAAGACAGTGCGAAATACCGGGGTCAACTTCGTGTGCTAAATTACAAAGCAAAATAAAATAGCTGAACACTTACAAACCGACCAACTGAAAAGTATTTGGAAAGCTCACCGTCAGCAAAACTTTGACCCAGGGACGCCAGGCTGTCACGCAGATAAAGTGGATGCATTGATTCTTCAGAGACTGGGGAAGGTCGCTCTACAGGACGTCTGCAATGTGAATAATCGCCTGAGTGTAACAAACCATTTGGTCGCAATAGTGGGCTTCAACCAAAAAGCTCCGAATGCATTTCAAACGTGCTGTTTCAAGTGGGTTTCAAGAGGCGTCCAGAAATGAGAGTATTGAACAGACCACTGTTCCATTAAATGTAGATTTGATTGTGCGCATGCTTCTATGTATCCCTCTGGAGCAGACTGATTCCACTAGATCCACTAAGTTCATCACTGATGGCTTCAAACACTCAAACCACGTTTGCGAGGCTTGTTCATTCAAACATCACGCAATCAAACTTAATGAATGAGTCTTGATTAGTAAATTTTCTAACTGTAACGTTGTTCTACATTCACACTCGGTGTTCAGTAACCATTTCCAATACGGAATATTGCGGATAGAAACAGTGGCGAGAAGTCCCGATTTCGTTCACATTGTTAACAGAGCAGTTTCTCACAAACGAAGTCAACCTAAGAAATGACTTAAAGGTAGTGCTTATGCCGTTTATTTTTTCCGGCATGAATCTTTTAGTAATCAAGTAAAAAGCAGAAAATTTTTAGAAAAACAACCGCCATGCTATTGGGCTTTGGAAAGTGAACTGGACAGAATGTCACTCATCCAAGACAAGTTGGAACAAGACAAACATTACTCAGCTCACACCACTTTTAGCCGTGAAGTGACGGTCGGGTGGTCTTAACCATAGCTTTTCCACAAAACTTAATCTCTTACCGAAAGAGTCAAAGTTGTCTGTTGTAACAAAGCAAGAGGAACAGTTGTGGATTCGTGAGCTGGGAGAGCATGTTTCAGGACAAAAGACGCATCACAAAATAGTAAAGTTAACCCTTATGTTTTCTGAAGTCACATTCAAGGAAATGCTCCTTTCCGGGACAAGAAGAGAAGTCCAGACAGTGACCCACCAAGCTGGAAGAACCTGAACAATCTTAAGCAACTCAGTGTTTTTTTCGAAACAACGACAACAAATTCAGTTTACTCTGTTTGTAGAATAAATCTATTCGTGGACTGTGTATTGAAGTTGAATCTTCCTTACTTCCGTTTACTTCTGACTTCGTTGTGAACCTAATCTTCGTCTAAACAATACCAGAAATTCGGATACAATTTGGCTGCCTCTTAACGGTGATTCGTATAAAGAGGGAGGACTGCACAATTTACTTCTTTGCTGACCATCTGGTAAGAGGAACATGGCTAATGGACAACATTCGTTGGTACGTTGGTTCTGCACCATAGTCTGTCCATAGAAATCTTGAACGGAATATCCAGTTGATTCTCGACTCAATTGTAAATATGAGGTGTGACACTTACATTTCGGTTATCCGTCCTAATTCATTCTAGCAGACAAACAAGTACAACAAGCAGATGCATGAATCGGCAGAACCGGAGTAGACACTAGGTCATAGTTTGGGAATGTGGACAAGCCAGTCAAATCGATCAGGCATGAACGCACCGGTCAGTTGAAACGCGACAATTCAGTGTCAGCTGGCGAAGGAGTAATGACGCGCTTGATCGTATTCCAGATGTCCGGGGTTCAAATACCGGTACTGTCAAAGATATGAACTGTTGATAAGAGCTAACTTGAGACCAATGCTTTCCCGCCTTGTTGTGGACCAATCAGAAAACTGCGCTGGAGAGAGGGCCATTCAGATGAAAATGTCGTGAATACTAGTATACAAGCCTCAAAACTACCAACTATAGAAATGGGTTTGTTTTATAGCTTCTGGAAGAAAGTGTGCTACACGCACAATAAGACTTCAACCTACCGTCAAAGAGGGCTTTGTATAGAGGAAGTTGGTGGATTCATGTTATCCCTCTTGTTTAGAATTAGCTGTGCGATGCTGAAAATCTGGGATACTCATGTCAAAACTAAACAACCTATTCCAACAGGACCCCAGTGGTGAACGTTACCTACTGGTCTGCATTTTAGGGCGACACTTTACACACGCATTTGTGGCTTGACTTCTGCGGGCAGATTCTACAATACCTGCGACCACCTGTGTGTTCAACTTGCCTTTCCACTCCAACGCAGGATGGAGATCTGAGTGGACTCAGTGGTAAATAGCTGGACAGCAGGTTGAAGTACTGTTTTTAGGGTTGAAGTCTGAGTCGGCCGGATGCCTTCTGCCATTCCAGAAAACAAGTAAACATGAAAGATAAACATTGGAGGAGCACAAAAAGTGAACCTTTGAGCAGATGGTGGGGGTGCATTACGTCCTTTTCGTTAACGGCTGCAGGTATAGACAGCCTGGCCCTGTAGACATCTACCCGTGCATTTATCTTGTGGATTACTGAAAGGGACGATCGCTGTGAATGAAGGCCGCTACCTCATCTGTATTCAGTCTTTTCCGTTGTTTGGTCTTGGTGCATTACTACGTTGTTGCTTGCCATAACTGCAAATTCGTTATTCCGGCATGTTTATGTCATGCATACTACGAAATCACACTACGAAGACTTCAACCACATTAAACGAACCGACTGGATCATTCACTTATTTTGAGCATCACTATACCAACTTTGTTTCCCTCATTATTTATTTGAAGGACTGTATATGTATGACGTGCTGAAAATACAATATGTTTATCACTTTTGTCTCTCCTTTGGACAGCTGCACTTCTCTGTTACATTGCTAGGTGGGTGCTCCAGTGAACCTCCAGGCCATGCAAGGCCCGAATGGACCAAGGTAGGTTAGGTGCTCTGCTAGTCGAAATGGCCTAATGAAAATATGGTTAACGCCACAAGGACGGCAGAGAAAATGTCTATTTTCTGGTAAGTCGTCTGGGTTTGATTTGTCACAAAGTGATCGTCATAAAAGTGAGGGTTCTGGGAGTCACCTTCAACTGGACCACATGTTCAGCAGCAGAATTTATCCGTATGGCTCCTAGCGTAACCAAGGTTACGTAAGTGGGCGTTAGGGTCATGGCCCTGTTTATGTCCTTTGAGTAAGGTAAAATTTGAACAGATGGATAGGTGTGTTGGAGGAATAAGTTCACTCAAGGGAAATCTTGACGACAGTTGGCATGCAACTTTACGACCACTGTAGTCTTTTAGCTCTTCGCGGTGTTTCCATGTTGATCGTTTTGGTCAAAATTAAACGATTTATTAAACGCTTATTCACAAGAAATGAGCGTATTCAGACTCTAGAAAGCCTCGGTAGCAAGATACAATTATAAGGTAGAAAAAACTGCGAGTCAACGAAACAAACACAGCTTGAAACGAGCTTCCAGCCTACCCTGCCTTGATTGCACTAGTCGGTCGACTTTCTGATACGGAACCACGGAATGAGCGTTGCCCAGGAGTTGTTGGTCTGTTCAGTACGCCGAGACTCCTCATGCTTGTCGTTGACATACGTGCCTCACTATCACGTGATAGCATGGGCTTACACCAGTCTACACCACCATTAGCCTCGCCGCGTACCACTGGCTGCACAGCATACTTGTACTTGAGGAGTCCTTCACCAACCCACACACGTGGATCACGCAATACTGCATCTGCACCTGTTAGAGCTTTCAAGTCGGTTGGGTCTGGAGGAGGCATATCCTGTCTGTCTAGGTCCGATTCAAGTGCTGTGGCATCCTCCTGAAATGTAACAGTGATTGACATTTATTCCAAGGTTAGTCATAAACATGTACTTAATCTCAAAATTCAAACCAATCAGCCAACATCACCTCATCATCATCGTCATCGATTTCGTCATCTGATTCTTCTGTTGAGCATGTCTCGTCTGAAATAAAAACGAAGTCAAGCTAACTTCAAGTAAATTCATAAGACTCATACACGGGCTATTTACTGAACTAATATAAAAGACCCACACTTCTAATGTTCGTGAAACAGAAATTGGCATAACCAACAAGAACCCATGCCTTTAGAAGCGCTACACTGGTCATCATACACTTCAAAAAAGTTTATTGTAATATTCTCGAAAAGTAACTGGTTTCGTCGGGCATAATGTGAGCTTGCGTAAGATAAGTGTTTGTGCATAGACATTTTACCCAATCAGAGCACTTGGCTAGATGCAAGCACTATTTTCACAACATGCGAAATTGTTGAGACCAAGTGACCTTTAAGGAAAGACACCGACTGAAAAATCCTTCAGTAGGTGAATACTACTTTCGAGGAAGTGTTTGCAATATTCCACGATGTATCTGCTCTGTCTGGGCATAGGCATAATCGATAAAAGCAATTCAAAATTAACATACAAGGCGAAACTTTTATCCTACTTTCCTTAATTGAAGAAGTTTGTCTGTTGGCAGTCACTTGTGGTTGGTGGATATTTCCTAGAGCTACTGCGTGACAAACTGATGGCACTGACAAAAGGTGGTCATTTTACGGAGGACAAACGTTGCACATAGTATTACAGATTGACTCTTAGCCCGATACAATAGTTGAGAGTTCTGCAACTGTGGATGAGTAGCCAAGATGGCAGATATTATAAGGAGGACGAATTTACTGACCATAATTTCCGTAGTTCGAACCTGAACTCCGCATCTTGACTTTTTCTTTCTGGGCTTGGGCAACCTGGAAGCATCCCATCCTTCGTGCTTCTTTGAGTGGCAAGGCAGTTAGGCACCGAAAGGGTGTTACAGCCAAANATATATATATATATATATATATATATATATATATGTATCAGTTACCAAACCATAAACAAGAAACTTTTTATGATTTTGAGAGCTTCTCGTGAATGGATATATGACATGAATTGTAACTCACGTGAACGTAAGCGGCGGATGATAAATTCAAACTGACGATTCATCTCTGCCTGGTCCGCTCTAATTAGGCCTTCTAGCGTGCGTTGTAAATCCTGGAGTAAAATAAAGTATTATAAGTCTGGATTATCGAATCCAACACAATTCATACATTTGCGGGCAAATAGTGGCCGTAGTCCAGCTGTGCAGAGCCGCTCAAAACTATTTTTCAATGGAGTTCTAATAATGATCACATGACAAGAAGACGCACTCAGTTCGGAGATCTAGTGATCTAGTTTCGTACAGGAATTTTGTTACAGTAAACTGCGTTTCCTGCGAAGTGAACCCTGATCCAGCTGTCCGGCGTCGAACCCTTAATATGAGTTCTGAATTGTCAGTGTGGTGTTAAGTATCACCCTCTTTTGCAAAGGCCATAAAGTCATGATAAAACTGTTTCATTACCAGTTGCTGGTTGCATGTAACCGTTCATAATTCTGGATCTGTGAGCTACATCACATTAGACGAGCAACTTAGCATGGATCGTTTGCTTACAAAAGCCATCTTATATACTCATAAGGAACTTCCATTGGATGGAAGATAACAGATGCTAATTTTTACGGCTGTAAGATTTACCATGATATGGTTGGGTGATATGGTCCAGACATGATAAAAGCGACTAGACTGTATCAGCTAAAATTATTCTCAAACGTAAACCATCAGTGAGGTCTTTTGTAATAATATCCATGGTAGACAGTCGTCCTCAACGTTACGACGTGTGCCGTGGAGTACCAAGTTCGGTGTCTGGCTTTTTTGGGGATGTTCAGTGAAGTGTGTCTGAAAACCACCCGGAACTGACAGAGCCACTAGATGTAGGAAAAGTACTCGTGCGTTTAAGTTTCTTGACCTATGGCCTAGGTTTGCAAGAAGGCACCGTAGGCCTGACAATCGCACTTAAGCACAATGTAGTATGATTTGTTTTACGCCTAGATTTTATAGTTGGGTGTCTCTCTTCTGAAAACAAAGGTGGAAAAGTAAGGTTTCTTCAGTGAACGAAACTGTGGCAGCTATAACCTCAGCACAGTAAGTAGACCGTTTTGCAGCTATTGATGATGATGATAAGGCCTAAAAAAGATTTGGTGGAATATGGTGGGCTTGTTGCTGGGTTACGTTTCTCCTTTGACACAAGAGTTCCGCGTGGTCAAGCGAGTGGGTCGAGCTTTTAGATTGATGGAAAGCTAACAGGTAAGTGGTTTTTCAGCACACAAATTCGATGAATGTCTGTTGAAGAGTGAGTGTCTAAGTCTTGTGACTTATGGGTTGAGGAATTTAACACCAACCTTAGCAGCTTTGTGAACTTGTTTCCCCTGTAATGTGAGCCTCAACTGATAGGTCCTCTTTAGCGCCACTTACAGTTTTGTTGTTTTGTTTGTTTAGATCGCTAAGAGATAAGACAATCTGCTTAGTGGCCTCTTTGGTGGCTTTGTACTTCACATCCAACCCACTTCTCTTGATGGCTCCTCTTCACTGATAACACACCGAGACGTGTAAACCTGGCTGATCATAAATGATAAGGGTATACTACTGATCTTATACGAACAACCCAGGATCATTTCACCCACAAAGAGTAGTGAGGGTGCTCCTGACAAATTCTCAGGCATGTTCCTCTGTTCATACTTCATGCGCTAGAACTTCACGCTCTGAACATCCAGCAAATCAATTCAGAGACAACATTACTCTTTTCCGTACCGACGTCTTAAGCTTGCTTCATTTACGCTAGGGCATAACTAGAGTAAGACCACCTCAGAACAGCAGTCGAAATACCAAGTAACTGCGATGGACCTTATTTCTACTGCAACTGTTCTGAGAGCTTTTTAATTACAAGTCATGGTTCTAGTTGCTGATACAGTGAATACCGCCCACCATGTCATCTGGCGGGTAAACTGCCCGAGGTAAACAATCAACCAAAGTGCTCACGTTAGCCAAACAGTTATTCTATGTGAGGTGTTTAAAACAAAGTCCACGCGGATCAGTGAGGTCTCGTTGCAAATGGACACAATTATTCCTAAGAGGCGGATGTCAGGGTTGAAAGCCGTGTTTTAACGCTGAAAGCGTGAGAACTTATCATGTTTTTTAAGTTGCGCTGAAGTGACCTCAGAACGCTTATTTAGAGCATCAGAAAATTTTCTGCATCGTCACTTTTTTTGGGTCTGGTACATCCTAATTAATCCAACGAAATATCTATTTTCCTCCCTTGCTTACAAGTAAGTTAGCTGTAGCCGAGGGGATCTGAATACGTGATGCCAGTCGTTTACTTAAATACGAAAATCACTAATGCACTTTGCCAGTTCCATGTTAAGAGTGAATACCGTTCTACGTACATCTATCTAAGATCACTCAACTGAGCGGAGAAACCGCTCAAAGTTTGTCTGCTGAATGTACCAGTAAAATAGCCTATGTCTTTATCACTGATTCTCTCAAAAATCTCATACCCTCTTTAACAGCCAGTGTTTCCGGCAAATAGCTTATCAGAGGAGTCCTGTTAGGCTGAAAGGTGTCTGAGAAAACTAAGTTGAATTCGTGTACAATCAACCTAGTCTACGACCTCTTATATGGTGCTAATCGATTTTTTTAAAACATACATGGTTCATTGTTTAGATACTTCACGGAAAATACGGGCCTGAAAGACGACAGGAATGAACTCTACAGAAGTTTGAAGCTGGTGTTTGGATGCGCTGTTCGCGTGCAAACGCTCACGCAACAATCCAATTGACGATAATGATAGAGGTTCATGCGCAACCGTTACCGTGGTGATGAACGTACACAAAACAAACGAAAGGAGCGCACTCACCATACCAACTGCTACCCTGCGAATCTCCGGCAGTTGTAGAATAGAGTATAGTGCTCCGTTTACATACGGCACAATATCAATGTTGTCACTCTTGAGCAGTTCAACCAGAACTTTTAGGATCCGTGAACTGATAAGAAGACAGTTGCGCTTTCCTGTCAGTAGGTGAAAATGTCCTTTATCAGACTACAGTAGCGAGCAGGCAATTAACTAATCGATAGGAAAAGGGCCACATACTTTAAAAATCACTAGCAATGGAAGACAGGTTATCAGCATTCGGTCAACTTTGACAGGGCTACTTGTCCGACGCACGAAACAACAGCTAACCTAGCGAAATACACTTTTATTTGCAAACAAATCTGGTCTTGAGGGAGACTCACCTGGAACCCAGCTAAATCTCTCTTTAGTTGGGAATAACATTTGCAAACAAATCTGGTCTTGAGGGAGACTCACCTGGAACCCAGCTAAATCTCTCTTTAGTTGCGGAATAACATTTAAATTTTGTACTCAACTTGGAAACAAAATGGCGCATTCGGCACAGTCAATATACCGGTCACTTTAGTTGTAGAATAAATAGACGTTTTACACTCAACAATTTCCCGTTACTTTGTATGAACTTGCATCATTTTGTTCAGGTAGTCTATAGTGGAACGACGGTAGTCTTTGAAATTTGAGCAGAAAGCCAAAATGAAACAATGGGTAGCCACCTAGATGCAAGTAATTGGCTACAGTATTAGGAGACAAGTGGAAGCAATTGAAGCAATGTGCCGTAAGGTATGGTCCATGACTGTTCTCGTTCCATGCACGGTGTACTTCAACCTGATTGGAGTAATTTACCCAAGAAAGCATACCAAACTGAAACTTCCCCTCAGCTGACACTATCTCACTCCGGCCTCGAGGAATTCGGCTCGAAACTGACGGACCACCAAAAACCTCCAAAAGGGTTATTCTAGATGTTTTCTACAGCAACTTCTATTCCAAACAGAGAGGAGGACACAAAATGTGTACTTTGTTCCTCCCTAAATTAAGGAGCCAAGTATGCACATACGTAATCGTAGTAAACGTGATTTTGATTCTCCCGTGGTTTGGATTTCTAAACATAGCTTCCAGCTATATGAACCTTAAATATCCCGGTAACCCCACGGCCCCCTAAATGAGGGTTGCTGCTCTGAAGAGGTAGCAACCGCGTTCCCCGTCATTCACAAGCAGGATGATATGCTACGGTTCGGAGATCGGTTGCACACTGAAATTTCCGGGCTTCTGTGACGTCCAATGAGTTTGAGATTTCTCAGCTATTTATTCCGATTGTGCACATAGCATAGCACTCATGGTGTATACATGTGTATCACACCTGAACTGTCAAAATTTATACAGTTATGTAAAGCGCCACGTTGCAGTACACTTGGGAGAACTTCTATGAACATTCGCCGCTTTCCTGGAGGACCTATAGCCTCGTTCTCCGAAAGGCAAAACGAAGGTCCCTCCCGTAAGAAAACACCTTCGATTGTTTCTCCTAAAATCGCAATAGTTGCTGATACTGTTTACTCAGAAGGGGTACAAAATCCTGCTTCAAATATTCCACAATACCGGTGATGTTTTTTGGACTTTGCGGTTATCCTGACCAACTGCTCAAGTGATAAGGTTTTGGATTTCTAAACATTTTCAACTACCAATGGATAGCGTGTGGCGGGTTTAGTGCTCAATGCGTTTACTAAGGCAGAGTATGAATAGGGGCACCTTCTGCATGAATAGAGTGTCCTGTACAACGGAGGTCCGGCCACACACTAGTAGACATGATAGGGTAATCTGATTCGGCAAAAGAGAAGCGTGTAAACATCGTCTATTATCAGACAGCCGATAGGATGTTACCAACAAACCACAGATTTGTTCGACTATTTTTTGACTATTTCTGACTAGTTTCTATAGTAGTGAAGCTATAACGGTCTTATAGTAGCCTGTCACCAGTTAAAAAAACTAGCAATAATTACGAAATGCATGATTATAAGCTGTAATACGTTTGCTGATAAAGGATTGTGTTTTGATAACAGCACTATTTCGCTAGCACTAAACGGTCTAACACCCCTTTGAACAGATCGAGATTTGCAGTGAGCAAAGATGCTCGTGAACTCTGGTAGTGCAGTGTCGCTTATTTTTTGTAAGTTGTAGGTAGAACTCAAAAGGCACCTTGGTAAACGAATCCGGCTTCAATTTAATTAAAAAATCAACAATAACGACCATGTTGTAGCACTGTAACTAGAGGGCACTTCACTCAGGTTTTGTGAGGTCAACGTTGAAGGTGATACCCTCTGGTATACAATAACCCAGTCTACTAAACGAATGTCATTTTGACGGTCTCACGGCCCAGAATGTCATCTCAACAAAGATTACGATGCGAAATTCGTGCAGTAGGATTCTACATATTTCTGCACCAGTTCGATATCTGGCCTGTCGTATAAAAGCAACATCTCTCCCTCCAGATGACTGGGAGCTCCATGACAAGGTAGTATTCTGTGAAATATACAACCGCTAGCGTTTAACCCCCCCCCGATAGGTCGTTTTTGGATTGTGAGTTTCTCGAAGAAGAGACTCAGGGAAAACAAGGAGCAAAAAGAAAGCACCAGTGACGTGTTTGTACACACGGTTTTTCGAGAGTGAATAAACTTACTAAACTCTCTCGAATGCTCGCAAACATTCATAAGAACTGATATCTCGTAAAGGCGTGCACTCCGTCGAAAGGTTGCATCAAACATCGACTGCAAGCGGTCTGTTCATCAAGTTGGTTTCTTCTTCGAGAAGCTTTTTACTGAAGTGCACGGTTTTGATGTGTAGTTTTTCCTGACGTTTGCCCTTCCAGGGGTGGCATCCAAAAGCATCCATTCATGACCTCAGCGCCATAAAGTAGAATGTCTCTTGATAATACCACACCGTGCAGCTGGTAATCTTCACTTATCAAATATGCGATATAATTGTGTAAACGCAACCTAGCCTAGGCAGTCAAGACAAATCAGTAGTTTCTCACTGGATAGCAGGTTGGAAGTGTTTAAACTGAGACGGCTTATAAGCTCAGACCCAAACAACAGTCTCTGATGATATCCCAGGTAGCTTTCATGGGTGGTGGTTGGGTAATCGCCTCCCACGCCTGGCTCTTATTCCCTTTTTCTCTTGTCCTCAAAGGAAGAAGGTGTGTGAGTATGCGTGAAAAACTGAGACTAAAATAAACTGAATTCCATTCACGAGTGCAGAAATTCCCTCCTCTTCCATATTTATCGCTATATAAATTTGATTGCGTGCTAAACCTGACGAGAATCGTCAGACTGGCACTTTGCTACCTTTATTTTAGTTATTCATGATACAGGAGAACGCACACACCCTTCACAGTCTTTTTAATCAGTATTTGATATGTTGACAAAGTTCGAACAAACCGTTTCAATCATTTCGAACTGAAAGAGACGAAAAACCTACCCGATGTTCGTAAACAGAGGTTCATGCATAAAGCAACTGCGTATTCCAGTGTGTAGTCTGACAGACTATCCGTATTTTCCAAAAGTGTGACAACCCAAGGAATAATTGAAGAATTGATCATGACTGTTTGCATCGGGCGTCTAATGAGTAAGGGGTGGTAAAAAAAGTTATTGATGGATTATCGAAATGAACCCAAAAATACTGCAGTAACTGAACCGTGAGAAGTATTTCAGATGCACCGAGTTGTCTTCTACTTGAGTTCAAGGTCAGGATACAACGGTAATCGGAATGGACTAGTACTTAAACAGGGTAATAATTTTCACGCGATGTTCAACGGTTTCAGCTTAGAAACTTGTGGTTTTTGGTCTTAACTATACAGATGAATACCACTTCAGTAAGTGTGCACAGGCAACGATACAGTCGAGTTAAGTTGAGGTAGTTTCTGCAACTTACGCACTGAGGATGAGTAATCGCGAAACCATATGGTATTTAAAAATTTCCAAACCGTCTTTTCTATTCAGTCATATTTCTGGAGCATTAGCAAGGAAAAACGATACGGTTAAATAGCCAGAGGGAATTTAATCAAAGGGGAAAAGATTTAACCATGGTTTTATATGCAGCATTACAAGAGATCTAACAGAGTAGAGGCCACCGAAGCATGTGTGTGCGCGCTTCAATTTATCGCCTTTTAACTCGTGATGATCGGATTGGATAACAAGCGCGTGGATGGAACCACTGAAATCCAGTAAGGTGTAGACAGACGGAGAAATTTGGGTTTAACATTGACAAACATTATCACTGTTGTTTTTTTCTAAATGAATCTAGACACCGATGGCGGCAAGTTATAGTCGTTCCTGCACACAATGAATGTCATATGGTTACCTAATGTACGTGACAAGGCACATAGATACGGAATGCAAAAGGAAGTTTAGTTGCTGTGACAAATTCACCGAGAAACGTGGCTACATGCAAGTACGGTGGATATTCCAAACGATGGAAGGATAAGCCTTCAAGATTCAAATTTGAAAGAGGACCCGGTCATGGCACTTTCGTTGCCAGTCATTGATGTTGTCCTCCCCCGAATGGAGTGACATCTCCCATTATCCTTAAACAAACGTTGTTAGAAATAATCAAGGAACGCGTGAGAAATGTCATCTAATGGCCCCACTTTTTAGGAGAGAACACTACTGACGAAGGAAAACGTCGGCATCCACCGAGGCGTACACCATTTTTGTTCGACTAAAGCACACATGAAGTTAATAATGGGAGTGTTATTGATAAAACCGAAAGAGAAGCATATGAACTTACGTCATCTTCACATGCAACAGCTATTTTATTAATTGCTTGACAAAACTGGTATAGTATGTCAAAGCATCAACTGAATGCTTCAAGTTGGGTGCCCTAAATTGACACTGTGCATTTTAGAAAATGCTAAACTCAGTAGAATTAGCTGGAATTAGCTGGGAAATATAGTTAACGGAATCTAACCAGCAGGGAATACATACCTCAAGCTCATTTTCTGCAGGGCCCCGACCAGATTTTCACGGGTTATAGACTCATCTTTTTCCTTGAGCACTTCGTTAATAAGGGCTTTAACGACTGCGGCATTCTGCGACAAATAAGCTCGACCTTATTCAAACAAAAAGAAGGATAAATTGAGAAATCCCACGCAGATGGTTACCTCTACACAAGGAAGAGAGCGCATTCACAAAACGAGCCATATATTCCCGCACTCTGTGATGTTGGGAGGATAGGCAACAAAGTAGAGGAGCCTTATCGGGTGTCACGTCACCCACGGGTCCAATAGTCGTGAGGTCGAGCAAGTCGTGGCGTACAAAAGAGGTCAAGCATAATTCGCGTTGTGGCACTGACGATTTCGTAAGCCTCTGTGAAAAAGAATGTGGGGTTAAATGCCATTATAAATGATTAGCAAGATTCGAAAAAATTCTTACATGTAACGTATACTCATTATCTAATTAGTCAGCACTGATAACTGTCCACAGCGTCATGTTCTTCCATTAGGTTTTCTCTTCGATCTGCTGACATGAGCTGTGGGAGATATAAGGTAACTCTTACGTGTGCTGGTTAGTGAGCCCGGTAGACAGCTTCACGTACGTTAATTGGTCAAATAGGGACGGTTGCGCTGCTAACAATACGGTATTCTTCCCCCCACATTGCTGCTTTTGTTCAGAAAAGTGTTTTACACGAAGCACTGTGGTTCTAGACTAAACTGCGCGTTGAGCTGAAAAGCCTTTATCAGTCTGCTACGTTGACGTAATAGCCAGCTGTACATTTTTGCATAGGTCTCATTGACTTACGGTGTTGACTGAGTAAACGTTTCGCACGCTGCCAGCAATGTAACGCTACATCAACCTCAATGACTGTTGTTTTCATAAGTGTCCTTCACATAAAGCCATTTTGCACAGACGTGTTCTCGAGTGAAGCAATCGGCCTTTTAGTTGAACACATATCTAACGAAAAAATGTACCGGGTATTCCATCAGGCCTAGCCTGATGGAATACGCTCCTTGTGCAACCGATTTGTTTTGCATTTCTGGGAACTCTTCCTCTAAACGGATTGATTATGCTGTTGCATGTACTAGTTTGTACTTTGTTTCATCTCTAGCTTTAACTGAGACCAAATTGTGATCACTTGCGCACATTCCCATCTAGAAATGTTATACTAATTGTACTTTTATCACAACTTCTGACAAGGATCGCATGGTGTTCCTGTGTTTCTGGAACCAACCACTTTACTCAGTCTACGATTCGCCCAGCATTTCCAGATGTGTTGCTTGAGAGGACTTTTGTGGCACACTTACTCGAAGCACTTAACGTGAAGGAATATAGACTTCCAAGTCGCGAGTTTGACACCACCTGCCCGAATGATTGACCTGATGAATGCTTTATTCTATACGTATAGAAATGTCTTTGAAAAAAGTTCTGAAGCAGACCCTTTTGTGTAACTGATATTCAGACAGCTTCTTGCGGATAAATAGCAAATTAAAACCCAAACCAGACCCAACGCTGATCATTCCTGAGAATAAAATTTTCCGAGTTCATCATTCACATTGGACTACATACTTTTATTGGACTATTATAAGGCTGAATGCTTCACTAAGCTATACACCGCTAATTACCAAAACATTCTAAATATGATATGGCAGAACATTAAGCCCCAATTGTCCATCGTTCGGATATGATTGGAGAGCCGTTTAAATTGGTACGACAAATACGCATCTTTTACATAATATTGCGCGGCCACCCTAAACTGCGCAATGGACTTCGTGTAATGCAGTTATCCAAATGGCACTCATGGTCTTGTAACACGTCTACAGAGGTTGTCAAGTGCATTTTAGAGGGAGGTCATCGGAAGCATCCTAGTTCGTGGTTCGTGGCATTGTTGCATAACAAAACTCTTTACTACTGGCCGAACTATACCGGCTGGTTTACCATGCAGAGGATGCAGACCCGAGCCATTTGTCTTGCACTTGTTTCATATGAGTCATATGTCACATGACACACTAACACGGAGTCGACTACGTCTACCTAGAAGTGTGCGTTTTGCTTTGTCAAATGACAAAAATAAATGAACTGTTAAAATTTTGTCACCTTTCTTGTCCCTTTGTCCCTTTCTTGCTAAGTCATTTTGTCAGTCACATGTAAATTTTAAAACCGCATTCATTGTTTGTTGAAAAATGCGTGGCTAACGGCAAAAACTCCTAATGAGGTAGGAATAACAATATGAAGCGTAAAAATGTGATTTTCCCTTGCATTAAATGTGCATCACCACGGTGCAATATTCAGTAACAATCTGTCACGCAGTGTTCTTTCTAAGTAACTTACCGACATCTTTTGCTGTCTTGCTCGTTTTATAGAAAAGCTTAACTTGAGTTCACCACCCCCTGAGTTCAGTTTTGAAGTCAAACGCAGTGAGTGCTTCTTCTAAACACTTGACAGCACATCAAATTGAACTTTGTTGATCTTTGAACAAGTTTCCTCTGTAATTTTAGATACTAGATTTGTCCAAGAAGTTTCTCCGTGTCGCTCATTGTGTCTGTCATTATTCTATTTCTAGGAAAGTGCCAGAACGGACACAAGAACTTATAAGGGGGAAAAACTAATTTGAAGCTCAGTGTAAATTCCGTCCCTTAACTTCTCAACAGGCTTTTTGGAATCAGTCCAAATTTGTTGTCTCTATCGTATGGACAAATTTTCAGCAACTGTTGGACAAGAACATCTAAATTACACCGTATTCAAAAATAGTCGTGAACTGTTGTTTGGTAATATGGAAAGAATACTTCACGTCCAGAATGAATTCTCAAATGAATTTCCGTAGGTTATTTGTGCTACCAATACACCATGAGTAACGTACTCGAAAATGAAAAAAGTTCACCATTCACCATCATCATTGACGGCATAACATCAGTGTTAAACACCGAGGCTTCACTGCCGTGATGTCATGGTTGTACGAGGGCTGGGATACTACCAGGGCACCCACACCTAGACAGGAGGACGATTAGGGTCCTCAACCAAAGCCTTTGACTCACAAGCCCAACCGCAAGGCAGCGGTGGAAATGCAAATGCATTACCATTTCTACGGAACAAGTCGCCACATGTTCCAACCTGGAGGGCCATGAGACTGTGTTCGTCAGACCTTCAACCATTGACCAAGCTGGTATGAGGGACTCAGTGAGTGTCACGGGGACACTCCCCAGTATAGCACAATGGATCGCTGAGGGGCGCAAACCGTCACACCATGTAAGGTCCAGTCTCTTTGTGACGGCCAGTCTCTTCATGACGGCTTCACTATTCACTTGGACCCCAATCTGAGAAGTGGTCATTCGAGGAGATAGTCAACAGGTGGTTGCGTGATTGGAGGGTGAGAGAAACCATGTTCTGCAAGCAAAACCCACTGTTGGTCAGCCTTTCGTTACCGAATGATATGATGATCAAATGCTGACCTGAAAATGACCTCTTCCCTAGAGGTTCTTGAAATGCGCACTGCTGTTAATTCTAAGCAGAGACAAAGAGGTTGTACAGTGTTTACCAGTTTTTCATACCGGATTGACTTTAGCTGTAGGATGAAATCCCGACTGGAGTTTTCATTAGTCCAGTTTTTTAAACGGGAAAAAAGAAACACTGATGCAATCAGCTGATAATATTCGCACGTGATTCCTTGTAGCCATTCATGTGAATTAAAGTCATAAGTAGTCACACCGTCCAAGGGGCATCTAAAAAATAAGTTTAATTTTTGATAGAGGAGTATAAGAAGATTCTTCCTCGGAGAGTTTTGATTTAGACGGAAGCTTTCACTACATGGCGGAAGAATTCGCGGATAAAGTTTGAGCTAACAACAGAAGATGACAGACTATTCAACTGTTTTATCGGGATCCGTCAAAGATTATGAATTTTCCTTCTTCCCAGTTCATCTGCCCATTACAAAATAATTGACTATGAGCCATAGAGATGCCAGCACATCATCAAGAAGATCAGTATGTCCACGGATCAATATTCGTGTGAATAATTTGAAGAGTTCTAATGGAGAATTTGACCATATTCATATTTTAATAACATGATTCAAAATGGGAATCACTTGGTTGTTTGTCTACTGTTGCTAGTGTATATAACAAAGAAGCTACACTTGGGCTCACCGATTTACAAATCCGGACGTTCAGTAATAAAGTTGCAATCTCAGTGGACGTAAATGTTTTGAGTAATGAAGTATGACAGCAAAAATGAATTTGAAATGTTAAAAAAACGTGCCCATTTTGACAGAAAAACAGGACTAAAAAAGTCAGCTTCGCTAAAGACAACTCTTTGCATTGTCAAGATGTTGCAACTTGACACAAAAATAGTTGGTGCCTTAATTTTATAAAAGCAGAATTTCTAGAGCCAGACTCAACCCGAGGATACAAACATGATTTTCAACGTACCCAACGCAGCGCTTGTAATAAGTAGCACTTTTTGCGATCTTCTAGCTGTCCAATGTCCTTCTTGATTTTTGTGTAATCAAGTTCAACCAGTGACACCTCATTCTTACCATTCCTGGAATTACAATTAGACTTGCGGTTAGGCTTTCGAATGAGACATCAGTAAATATCTAGCATCTCTCGATATCGGTACAGCTGGAACACAAACCATCGAGTTAGGAAAAAAGCGTCCTCGCGTTGACTGAGGGATGTGAGATTAATACATTGTTCTCTGTCAGAGTACGACTGAAGTAGCAGAGGATATGAGGTTAAATTCAATGGTTCTGCGTGCGTAAATGCGTGAGCCTAAAAACGGGTTCGTATATTTTCAGCAGCTAACAGCTTTCCGGTACAAAAATGTAATGTCATATGGATGCAACTATTGGTCCCAAAGGCATTATTGATGCTAGACGGTGTTGGCGAATTCGTAACCAGGTATTTCTAAGACCGGTGTTTGCTTCTGTAGTTTAGTGCAATCTATCTGTCTTGCGCTACGCACACTGGACTGAGCCAGGGCAGACTCGTGTTTTTCTCCGTGACTTCTTCAAAATGCTTCGAACTACGTAGTGGACCACGTGCGATATCGCCGCAACATATCTGTATACCTATCATCCAGAAGCGGTCACTGCGACTCCTTTTGAGATGGACCAAAGACGTTGCGAGAAATAGCCAATATTAGTTGGATTAGAGCTGCCAACTTTCTCCCAGAGTTGTGATTTATGGGCACCTCATAGTGGGCAGAGACCAGATTCCTTCTATGTCCGCCTTTTTTCCACTTTAAGGTTTGAAGTTATTTAAATCTTGCGGCTGTACGGCAGTGACACATTTGTGTCAGTGTTAGCGTTTTGTGCATAATGATGATGACATTGATGATGATAAGATGGTATTGATGATAACTTCGGTAACGAGTGATCACTCCAATGAACAAATCAGTTGATAGCTTCAGAGATGATGGTCTTTATGAGAGCGAATAAAGGCTCCCACTTACTTATCAACTGCTCATGGACACTCCTTGATTTTTTTTTCAAAAAAATCAACTGGTTTATTATAACTACTTTGTTGGAAGATAGTTTCAATTGTGTTTTGAGGACATTGGCGCATCATAATAAATATGGCCACACGGCCGACAACGACATGGAGGTGATGACAAATGGCCTTCATTTCACCAGTGCTTCCTATTGTTTTACTTTGTAGTATCACACCCATATTGCTTCATTTTAAGACGTTTATGATAATTTCCACATTTATATAATCTCATTACTGTTTTTCAAAGCCTTACAGGCTTTAATTGATAAATAACCGGGACCGTCACTTGCAGTTCAATGACTGACGTCTCAAGTTATCACTGAACTTATCAGTAACATCTACTTGGACTTCATGAAGGCTTAGTGACACGTAGATAATCAAATACCGGTATCTTCATAACTTTGCGTTAGCTCGCAAGTGGATTATTTGGATCTCGAGACCCATCTGATGTACGTGGAGCAAACTTTGCTGATTTGTTTCAGTGCTCTGCAAAGGTCACCGCTCGTAGAACAGTTGCATTAGGGGTAGCGGCAGAGGGAATTTCGCATGATTATCTTCTCCAGTCCAGTTGGAGTTCAGGATGTTGCGGAAAACACTGTCCCTATCGGTAGCGGCCCATTAAATCGTGAATTCGGTGTGAGGTCACCAGAAACATCAGGTCCTAATCGAATCAGAGTGGCACAGTATTCCAGGTGCCGCATCAGTTTCGTCGAACACTGGATGAATCTACTTGATTTCCATCTAATTTATGCATCAACCTAAGCTTTAAGTGAGAAGTCCAAAATTCTGCCTTATTGTGCACTAACCTCAGATACGTCAAACCGATTATGTTTTTAACATCGGTTAGAGTTTAAAAAGAACGGAATTAAACTGTGGACTAAAAATGGTAAATTTTCCTCCCTATTTCATATAGTTGTTCCATAAAAAGTCAGATTTTCTTTTGTCTGACGTTCACTTTAAAACTATACAGTTATCTTATGCTTGAAAAAATTCATTTTATTGGGTTGTATTTGCAAAACACTACTGAAAAACTAATTGTAACACCTAGCTAATTTTAAAGTTCGTAGTCTTCGTGCAATTAGGAAGCGATTGTTTCGGTACAGAAAAAGTGGGCGAGTAGACGGCTGTTTGCGACATACCTAAACTGGCATCCAAGGCAGAAAAACGTTACAAACCACTAAAATTAACGTTTTGTGAGTTCCTAACGCCGTAGTCGGCCACGGAAATAAGCGAGTAACAATTCTGATTCACATTGTACACTATAGCCTAATATTTAAAAGATGGGGGCACAAGTAGCAGTAAGGAGAATCAATGTTTTCAATGTCTTCCGGACGCGCTTCTCCAAGTTCAACGAAAAAAGTCGGTTTAAAAACGAAGTTTTTGTTCCAGTTTTGCTCAACACATACCGGCAGACATACTGAAAATCAGGTCTTGCGTCTGAGATATCATCTCCTAAAAACGTCTACCCTCTCAGTAAGCACGGAATGACCTGATCGCTGGTGTGAGTGTGTGTCATTTATGAGTGGATGATCAAATTGGATTGAAATAGGATCATGCTTTGATATTTACATGCGTACAGCCCCAAGTAAACACGAATTAACTCTTATCGGTTTGACATAAGTTAAAAAATAGGCAACTGGTGTAGTTAATGAGAAACCCATAAAAGGCCTTTGAGTTAATTACACCGGCATTGCACTCACCATATTTGCGACTGTTCCAGAGAAATGGAGTTACCAAAGTTCTCATATCTGCCAGAAAATCTTGAAAAGTCTTTCGCGGAGCCAAATGAAATGGATGCTCCATCGGTGCCTGCCTGGGACACTTTACCACCCGCTGGTTGGTTGTTCATTAGCCGCGTGTAAATCCGTTGCATCACACCATCTTCAAGTTTGTTTCCTTTGAGACTGTTCTCCAAAGCGTCCAAAAGATCGGCTGTCACACTAATTAGTGTTTGATAGTCAACCTGGAGACGAGTGAATCTCCGATGAGCCTGTGATGCCCTTTTTTCTGCATCTGCCAATTCACTCTAGAGGTATAAAAATCAATAACTGTGGAGTCTGGAACTAGACGTACATGTAGCTGCCTCAGAGTTCGATCGCGTTTAGTAGTGTGTTCTGTCAGGACACGAACTAGTCGCGGCTGAGAAATGTTACCTTCTAAAAGCACGTTATCGAGAAGTGAGGTAAGCTTCAGCTGCACTGAGGCTCGCCAGGGATTTCTGAACAAGCCTTGATATATAGGATGTTCACTTGGATTTGGAACGTATGGAAGAGCGTAGTAGGGCAGCAAATCAGTAGTTTGACTCAAAAGGGCTCCTTTGGTCTCCAAGTATTGCCGAAATCTGTTCAATGCAGCATTTCGTTCCTCCTTTGAAAGGAGAAATAGCTAGAAAATGAGATCCTACGGAGTTTTTGTGTTCCCAGTTAGCCGTGGCAAGAAATAATTGAAGTTCGAACTCCAGGCGTTGATAATCTTTTCTGGACGTAAAATCTTCTGGTAGAAGACTGAGTAATGAATCAAAGAAGGTGGACACTTGGCCGGTCTTTAACAAATTCAGAATTGTATTCTGAGAGGGTTTCAGACATACAAACGGATCACAATTTTACCTTTCTCAGAAAGTATCCCAACGGTCGCCACTCGGCAACGTCTTCGTTCAGAAATGGTAAGGATTCCTCTTTGAACTGAATAAGTGTGTTGCGAAATTGATAGTATTCCAAGAACTATATGGCTGGTTGAATTACACGCAGACAAACTCACCTGCTCTACAGCAGTCAAAATACCTTTGTCTGAAGAAGTCACTTCGGAGTTCATTATACTATCCAGTGAGGCAATTTTCAGGATTCAAGCTCCTATACTCCAATGTCTTGACATGAAATGCTCTAGACTGAGAACGAAAATTCTGATACCTGGGGCGGATTATGAGCAGACAGTGTGGTAAATCGAATTTCTGCACATACAGGATTCTCCAATTGAAAATGGTGTAGCCAATTACAAGGCTGAAAATAAAATCAGGAAATGGATTTCACTGGTGATGACGACGAAGACGGGTTTGAATAATTCATCTGTATACCCAGGGTAATTAGCTGAGCCGAGTAAATTAACAGCTTTTCGAAGAGAACTTTGCTGATCTTCATTCAGACGTATTCTCCAGCTGACCAGGAAAGTCGAGAAGTACAAAACAGGCATTCTGCTTGATATGGCGAATTTCGATTATGTGCAATACCGGCAGTGTAAGAGTAGCAAGCTATTTCCTTAGCACTCATTTCGAAAACTTAAGCAAATAAGTCGAGAAAATGTTAAAGGATGTTGGAATTCACTTTAAAAGTGCAAGCTAGTAAAAAAGTCACTATGGTTTCAGCTTCCTTTAGCTCTGGATGCACCTAGTATTTAATTCGCAAGAATTTTTCTTACTGTCGCTCCAGTTCATCGTGCAATACAAAGCAAATTCACCTAATACATTTTCCGCGCTGTTCTAAAGTTTCCAGCCTTTGAAATTACAAGCTGAATGTAAGAGAGAGACTTATGCTGATATTTTACAGTACAGACCAAGTGAGGATGCAAAGGTTTTTTTAAAATGTCGTGTGATACTATAGTGGTGTTCACAAGGACCAACCACCGAAATGGAAAGCTGAAGGAAAGATCAGAACGATTGTGAGATGTGTTAAAAAACCAACTTTTCTTCGCCATAAGGCTATTATCATGATTGTCAGCTGTAATAGCTGCGTACTTGTCGTACAGTGGTTGTGGCTGCCGCAGTTTCGGCGAAGCATCAATGAAAAACACTGGTGTGTTGTCGACCACGGCGATGATGCATGTCTCTAACGCGCATCGACTTTGATAAGCATAATGTCGTTCACGTTCGCCTTTACAAGACCGTCGCTCATACCTGAAGTCCGTACAAACTTGTGCTCAACGTATCATGTCCAACAACAGCGCTCGTGGATATGAGACTTGTGAACCCACTGGTATTATCCCATCGGCATCAGCACGAGAGAAATCGACTGTTCAACAAGATTATGCTTTGCGTTCGTCCATCCAAGCTTTTAAATAACGGAGGTCCGCCGAATTTGGCAGTAAAAAATTGGTCCCATCCGCTTGGTTCAAGAAGGTGTTGCCTTTAGGGTGAGCCAACTAGCAACTAAACGCTTTACTGGACTGTGAGATTAACTGCCTAGATCAAGTCCTTGGAACCGCTCAAACTGCCGTATGAACTTTGATAGCATGAATACATTTTCGGTTTCTACTTTCACTCCAATAGGGCGCATTCTGTGATGATCTCGAGAGTTTTCGCTACTTATCATTTATTTATTTTGTGCTGTTAGTCATCCAGACTGTGTGGATTACTGAGACTAATATTTGTGGTTCGTAAATACCTCCTATCCGTTGTACCATCGGTCTGAATGAATCTGTGCTACATATATACCAGGATCGTCATCATCCTCAGTATCCTCATAACCACCATATTCATATTCTTAATACTTATAACCATTACTTTTCGATTTAAGGTCAATAGGTGCAGGAATGAAATGCTGCATTAAAGATTTTACAGCGGTAGTGGATAAAACTCCTGCACATTCTCCCAAAAGTGAGCCAAACCTCGGACAGCTTGGCTGGGTTAATGTTCCGAAAACCCTACTTAAAAACCTCCCTCTTCTGTGGAACGATGAGTATAATTTAGTCGTTTGATACACTTACCCCCTCAATTGGACAGCAGCATGATTTGACTGACATGGTTTCGTTCGAAAACTGATGAATACTTGCCGTGAGCATGCACTCTTCAAATGACTAAATCTCTTTCCACCCAGGAACATAATCTGATGAGACATGTAGATGCAAGCTATCAGAAAGGACTCCAAACTTCCGTCCTGCATACCGAGTTGCCACAAGTATTGTAGTGCCGTGTGCACTATGTGAAACACGTGTGACTGCTTCATTTGTTTAAGCCCCTCAAGCTAAAATTCAACGCAGTAGATCATCTAATTTAACCGCCATATTTAATTACAATCCGCAAACTATTCGATAGATCATTTGCCCCAGGTATGGGAACTGTAAAAGTGAAAAATCGCTCTAATGCTTCCAGAACTCTGATTGATAAAGCTTATGGCCCAAAACGCGTCCTGCTTACGCAGTCACGCATTGATTTTTATACAAGAAAACTATGAGGCCACTAAAGTTGTGTATGCAAGAGAGAATACAGTGCCAGCTTTTAAGGCAACATTTTATGTTAAACTCCACCAACCGCATTGAAAATAACTTAGCTAATGGCATGTACAACTGATTCTTGACCAACTTTCGTCATATAGTTATTTAAAGCCTGGACTTAGCAAGCAAATGGCAAAAGACAGTTTTCCTTATCTTGCTCACATTTTATGCCGTTTTTGTAGCCCTTTACGCAACTGGGGAAAAGGCCTATTCTACACTTCCGACTTACCAGAAGATTTGCAAAATCTGACATTAAAGGTAATTGTGTGACGTTAACTGGTTAGAAACTAAGATTTAGCTAGACTTTAAGAAGGTCCCAAGCATTCAAAAAGTGGTCCATAATAAACGTTATGCCATCATGAGTTGAAAATACGAGCACCCCTATATTGTCAGGCAGATTCGTTGACCTAATTATTAGAATATTATGAAGTAGGCGTAGACGTCGAGCTGTGTAAATGGATTCCCGTTTTGCATAATAAACTTTGTGTAGGTCTCCCATGTGGAAAGTGAACCCGAAAGTTAAAGCTACCAATTGACGAGCGTACCGGTTGCTGCATAAAATAAACACAACCAGGTTAGAACTACAAAGACGCTTACATACATTTCCATGTATTACTCTAAAACTGCGCATACTGCAGCAAAAACAAAGCTACCAAACAGCCTATCAAGAAAATTTCAAACACCGGTTCCTTTGAAAAATACAAGATTAGTCAGAAAAACACGCAATAGAATGAACAGAAATATTCGTGACTTTGAGTTCTAAAAGTCAACATAGAGGCCAATCACATTAGACTGTATTAAAATTGAGCAAAAGTACCTAGAATTTTCGGAAAAACGAAAAGCCAGCCATACCCGCCCTATACCACATAAAGCCAGAAAAACAGTTGACCGAGCCAATTAACATCTACGTGATCTGTTCTTTCCACATTCTTGCGTGAAAGAAATATTCGCAAACCGGCCGTTTGAAGGGGACGCCTTGGCTCCTTGCAACCTTCTGAAAAAATAAGCATCCTTCTACAATTTAATCCGTTCATCGCTGATTAGTCGCTCGCTCGCGGCGTCCTACCCAACGTGTTTCCTTTACGCCGGAAAGTCCAAAACACCCCTCTGTACTCTGTTGAGGCTCAGAGTCAGCAATCGATGACGTTGCTTACAAATTATTCAACATTTCATTATCCTTTTCCCACATCCACAAAATCATAATTTCACCTCTGACAACGGACAACTTCCCATTACTCACCAAACCCCGCAGTAAGCTAACGTTCTCCCCCCCCATTCGATCCTAATCAGATCGGTCAGTCATGATGGTCAAGTACCCTGTCTCGACAGACCCCACACGGAGCACAGCGACTCCATTCTGCATTGGAGCTCCCCATTTCCCAGTCGGTTTGTGATCATAACTTCCATCAAACTATCCTCGATCGTTGCCCTCCCTTCAAGCAACGCGGAAAAAGGCACCTCCGTCCAAACATTCGCCCACGGCCTCCCATCCAGTAATCCGGTGGAGCTGAATGGTTGCTCTCGCGCAACGTTGTTGAGACCAAACCATCGGAGTCATCGGTCCCGTTTGTGTGGTAATCAGTAGGTAACCGGAGCCTCCACCGTATTTGGTCCAGCAATCCATAGCTTGAAATCTGACCCATGATTCTGTCCATTCAAAGACGGACTGTCTCGATGCGATCTATTCATAAATTACGCCCTTCAATATCGCATGCTTCTCAACCATCATCCTCTAATGCCTCGAAGTAACTTCCGAAATCGCCCTTTACCACGTATTAAATGATTAACAAACAATCAACCTTGTTCTCCAGGGGCACCTGCTTCGCCTCTAACATCCAAAAAGTCCAACGGAAATATTATCCCTGAGGATGTCTACAATACAACTCCAGTATTCTCAGGTGGTACAGTTAGCCAACCGGTCAATTATTCAACATCTCGATACACTTTGTATTACAGACCATGACGCAGTCTGCGACTGAAAATAACTATGATGATGATGAGATATCCAACACACCACGTTAGCTATCCCTGCTACAAGCACTTCTCATGCCGACTACATGCTCCTGTCTAAAAGGCGTACAGTACTTCTTACATAGAATATTCAGACAACTTTTAACTTACTCCACTCCTCGTGGTTCATAGCAAAGTATGTCCCACCCCATTGTCGGCATACAAAGATGACGCCATCCTTTCAAATTCGTCTAATAAACATTCGACGCACCATGATTATCTCCAACAACCATTTGTTACACGCGTAAAGACACAAGCGCCGGCTGCGAAGACACACGCAAGCACAATTTCTATTTAACTGACACGCAACCGTTCCTTATAATGCAGGCTGATTGACGCTTAGCACTACTGAAACCATCTTCCTGCCAAAAGTGTCCATTGTGTGCCAACAAAACGTGGCTGGGCAAAAATGCCGAAGGTAATTAGGCATCTACTATTCACCATAAGGCTGACTTCACCTTCCCATGCGAGCCTTTCAACGGGATGCTTTTTGTTGAGGACGTCAACTACAGCCAATCAGGCAAAGTTTAGCAGGAGTCTGACCAGAGTCAAACATTTAATCGAAGATTTTCAATGTGCTAGGATTTTTAAGTATTTATGTCACTTTACCACATGCTGCCGTAATGTTTGCTCCCGGAGCCACATGCTCTTAGTTTGTAGATGCTGTCTGATTACGCCTATGTGCAACACGCTTGTACCCAAGAACACTCTTGTGTGCGTCTGTTACCTACTACTGGGCTTCAGATTTAGTGGAATTGAGAACAGGCGGATATAGAACGTGATCTTACAAGCTTGTTCTTTGACCACACGGAAATGTTGTTTATAGCGATAATCCAGCAGCACGATATGTCATCGGAGTTGGCTGTTTCGGTCTGCCCAGTAGCGATGGCCAATCCACAACTTGAATTCAACAAGGCACAAAACACGTATACCCCATATTACCTCAGTCTGATGCTTTTTTTGATCTTGTATTTCCTAAAAAATACAAAGCAGGGAGGAAACCTAACAGGGCTGCATGAATCATGGAGTAAGTTGACTAATAATAGCAATCAGACAGATGTTGAATACCAAAATAAGCCTAGGAGTGTCCGGAGAATATACTTTACTTCGTGGACATCCGGCACCGTGCAATCCTTGGTATTTGTTTCCCTTTATCTGTACTTCGAGATCTCGGACCACGACGTTTGTGTCAGCAATACACACCCTTAGCCGAAACGTCATGGTTTTATCCTAGTCAAACTCATGATGTTGATATTTGACCATACTTTCCAACAAGCTGTGTTGTGTTGAAAAAGTTAAAAGTTTGTCGACGATTCATTGCTGTTCTCTTCGGCCTTCTGTTGGTCTTACCTTTTTATACTTCCATCCCGTCAACAACAATGAGAGAGTTTTCATTTCTTGGAGTTAGAGGGCCGATTCACACACGCGCTGAACATTATCGTCTCCATTGCAGGAACGTGCATTGCTTGATCAGTGATTTAATGCACTCAGACAGCATTTCGGTTACCGTGATTCCAAAGTGACTTTTCCAAGATAAGCTACTGTACACTTCATAATAAGAACAGAAATTTAGTCTCGTAAGATGTGGTGTGGGTGACGTATGAGAATACTTTTCAGAAACCCGTCCTTTTGGCAAGTGACTGGACCGAACGTCGATCCTTCCTATCCATCCGTTTCTAGTCGAGATGTTAGCAGTTCATTCAAATTTTTAAAAGAATGGGACTCAAGCTGTCCTCCTCGAGTGCAATGAAGACCCTCACCCAAATCTTCATGACCAATCTACACACAGTGGTCACACAATGGGTGCTGGTTGCTTAAGTGTGGTAAACCCTCCACGTATAAAGTTTTAACCACTGCTGCTGCCATTGCTGGACTTAGACGATATGGTCTTACAAGTGGCCCATGGCCCAACCATACGCTTCCATTTTACACAGCCATTGCCGAAGCAGGACTATGTCTTCCTCCTTAATGGCCGCAACAGCGGGCACTGCGGCTGTCTTTTTCTGTGTAACGTGCACCGTTGTCTCGCCAGTCATCTGGGAGTTTTCGGCAGGTGTCCTGAGTACAGGTGGCGCCATTTCCCCGGTAGTCCATGAGCACTTGAGTTTCATTGGAAGTCGAAGGCCGAAAATAATGCACTAATGCATCCCGTTAGTTTCTGCTTCATATGTCCTACGTTATTTCCATTTGTGGGTGGGAGAGTTGCTTCCTGATTCTCCTCCTGCCTCGTCCTCCCCACCCGCTGCATTAGTACCCTTGTCAGGACATGTGCGGCACACGCGATTGTCGAAGTACCCCAAGGTCTGCACTGGGTACTAGTCTTCTTTCTCGAAAAAACTACTCAGAGATGTCGTTCACAATGTCTGATATTTGCTTCCAAACCTCCTCAAAACGGCAGGTCCCATTTCAGTGTAATCGTATATAAGGGGCCGTTCGACGAAAATGTTTGTGTTAGAACTGCTGAATTTTAATCGTCATTAGCAACATACTTCTGCACAAAGCTCAAAGAGATTACTTTT